TTTTTTTTTTTTTTTTTTTTTTTTTTTTTTTTTGATACTTCTATCTATGAAAAGTCTAAAATAAAACAGTTGAAAATATAACTTTCCTTTCTTCTCTACAAATTGTAAACGCAAAATAAACATTAATTTTTTGACCATAACAAAAAAAGGATATACTAATAGTGTATCTTGCTCAATGACTTTTCTTTGTAGAGTCATATTCCTATTCCTGGTTAATTGGTGGATCTACAGATGTATTTATTAAACCAGACCAACGAATATTTGTGTCTCGTGATGGCACACTTTTTTTTTCTCATAACATACCTACAGATGCTACCAGGTTTGCAGTTCAAGAATCCGCATCTTACTTTAATTTTGAACAGCAAAATATTTCTGATATTTGAACCAAGAGTAAACTTATCGTTTTCTTTTCCTGCATCTCATGCAAGAATTCAGCCAGAAAATGGGAAAAGAAAGATGACAAATGACATATGAAAATTGCCGGTCACCAGCAAACCGCTAATTTTAGTTATGCCTGTCTGCTATCGTTAACAACTATGCACGAAGGTCATTATGGACCGTTTTTTAACTTACGGCTTCCAGACACTCTAAGTGACAAATCATTTGCACCACGTATTGACGACATGCAACCCCAGATTTTCCCTGAGCATCCTCGTATTGGTGACACTGTTTACATTGAGTGTTTTGCCTATGGCAGGTCTGATACTACAGATTTATCGTGCTAATTGTTTGGCTAAGAGCCAGTTGAAAAATATGTACTGAAAATTGAGCTTTTTTTTTTCTATTGTTGTTAAGGGATCGGTAAATAGCGTAATTGCAGACCACCTCCAAAATATCAGTGGACTAGAACAAGTGGCGAAATACCTCACTCTCGAGGATCTTTGACCAACTATGATCGGGTTTTAACAATCGTCTCTATTAGACCAGAAGATTCAGGTATTTATAAATGCACTGCGGAAAACGAATTCGGCAGCGACAGCGCAGATGTAATGCTAAAAATCGAAAGTATGCTTTCATTTTTTTTTTATTCAGATAGATCTTAAGTGAAATAGAGCTATAAGATGCATAAAATAATCAATTGTAAAGGATTATTCTAATTATATACCTGAACGGATCTGCATCGTACGAACAAATGTATGTTCAAAACATTTTTCAAAATTGTATTTGTTACAGCGCCACCAAACATCTTATGGCCTTTGAAAAATAAAATACTTCCAACAAATTCTACAGCACATTTTGAATGCCTTACCAACTCTAAAGAATCAAATACTGAGTGGTTCAAAGATTCTATTCCGATCACGCCTTTGTTAATGTCGCCAGAAGACCGTGGTCGATATTCAGTACGCGAATCCATGTAAAACAAAATTGAATTTTTACTTCTTTCTTCAGGATATTTTTGCAAAATATTTTCCGCAACTTCTTTGACAATTAATGAGTTATAAATCTTGGAAGAAAAAAAAATTAATTTTTAGCCTGTCAATAAGTGATATTCGGCCATCTGACAGTGGAATGTACCAGTGTTTTGTTTCCAATGAAATTGGAACCGTAACGTCATCAGCACACCTCAGTGTAACCGATATTCCACCGAAGTTTGCTACTGCTTTAATGCCTAAGAAATTGTTTGCTGTAGTTGGGTCTGACCTGGTTAGTATTACTGATCTTCTGAATGCACTAATTTTTTGAACAAATTGATCAACTGAATATGGAATATTTCATACTGTTAATGCAGCAATGTGCCTCTTCAGGCAGTTCCTTGCATATATTACTCATTACCACTGGGGACCGTAGAATGGTTTGATAAATTTGGAAAAAAAGTTGGTTCAGATGGCCGTAGACGGCATATGGATGATCCACAAAATCAGCTGCACATTGAGAGCATTATGCTTCATGATGAAGGAATCTATGTTTGTCGTGTTACCAATCGTGTCGGGATTTCAACTTACGACATTAGAATACATGTTCTAAGTGAATATTCTATTGCGCTGTACAGACTTTAGTGACCCTACTAAAACAACTATGTATTCGTGCCTAATTCTTCTTGCAGGAAGGCCAGCCCTATCAGTAAAGCCGTTAAACCAACGGATAAGTCCCAATGAGAAAAACGTTAAAATAGGTTGCGAAATTGAAGCTTTGTGTGAGACGTTGTCAGATTGCCCAGATGCTTCCATCGCTTGGCTCTCAAATGGCAATCCACTGACGTCGCTTCAACAGTTTGAGAAAATAATTCCAGTGGTTTGTTAATCCAACAGAGCCAGTAGTATCTAACTTTTTAGATATTATAGAAAAAATCTCGCATTATCTTTAATTTGTAACATTACCGTCACCACAGTAATTAGACTATTCTAATCATAGTAATATTTCGTAGAGTTCAATGAAATTTGCACTGGAGTCATAGAATGTAAAAACAATAAGCAAATAAGTAAACCAGAGCGTAACTGAATTATTTTCCAGATAACAGAGGATATTCATATTGGTAACGCAGAACAGTTTGCCAAAGTGAAGATGAAATCTGAAATAAAGGTAGATTTGAAATCTGAAATAAGGGTAGATTATAATTACTAGGTTTTAGGGACGCCTTATCAGCTATCGATAATTATTTTCTGTTGTATTATTTCTCCACCTCTTCCTGCCTTTTGATGCATCTATAATAAACAACATCATTTTTTAGCTGCCACCTAAATTGGGTATTTATCGCTTAGGCGAATTTGCATGTATTTCATCATTTGGCGGCGGTACTTCAGAAATAATGCCAAGTAATTCTATCTATACTCCAGTATTGTCCGTCAAAAATGCATCAGCAACAGCAATAACATTTACGTGGAAAAACCCTTCGTTACCTCATAGTCTTCCAGCATCAAATAAGGTTTTTTTACTGATATTTCAGGTTGCAAAAACTATAGGTACCTTTTATGCTGTTCAGGAAAACAGCTGAGTTGAGCAAGAAACGTATTTAAATTAAACGATTACTGTATTTTTAGGTCCTGTCAAAAATTTATGCTTTGGATGTGAGGACCAAAAGAAATAAATACTGGCATACAATTACCTCGTTTTCTGTCAACTCAAAAGAAGCTAGTAACAACTTACTAATTTTCCATCATCTGCAGGCTTCCGAAAATTATCAAGTACAGTAATTTTTTTATTTTATGATAACTGTAGCTTTGCATTCACTTAGTTTACACAATTAATTTTAGTTCAGAATCAGACCAAGGCAGTCGTTTGGAACAATCGATTCTGTTCACGAAACAGTGTGGGTAAAAACGTTACCCAAACAAACACATTCAACGGACTTGGATCTGCAGTATCTTAAATTGGATTCTTCACATTTTATGGTTTCTTGGAAGCCAACGCAGGTATACATTATGACTTATGTAAAATTTATTAGCTGTTACTGTACCTTCAAAGTCTAATTAATATTTATTTCATTGATTATAAACGAAGTATTTATCTATAGTCAGACGATGGTCTTCAAGTTCGATCTCGTATATTGTGGGCCACACCAATCGAAAAAGGTAGCGCAGTAACTGCTGAGCATAGTTATGTGATAAACCTAAATAAACATCAACCAGGCTGCTATGAGCTGATAATTACAGTTGAGCTTCTGAACTCTACAGATATTCCAGTCGCTGAAGATGGTTTAATTGCTTATGTTTCCTCCGATGGTACGTTAGTTTGAAAAACATGAGTGTAGTGGGAATTAATGGCAAATAAAGTTTTTGCAACGGAAATTCTTACCCTAAATTCTCGCTTTGCTGTTCTGCTCATGCAGCTGATAATTTGAAAATAATGTAGTTGGAAAATGTATTCCACTGACCGCTGTTTTTTATTATGATAATTTCTTAGTCTTATAATTTTCTTTATCTATTTTTTTCTCTTCTATTATTTTTATCCCTTCCGTCTTGTATCATGATTTTCCTAAAACTCTTGCAAGAAAGTATTCACGAATCTAAATGATGATAATGAATAATTACTTCAACAGCTCCAAAGCGAGTAGCGGTTGACCTGTTGGCAGATAGTATAACTTCAGCAAGTGTTCGTCTGACATGGCAGTGGAAGGGTATAAGTGAATGTGAAACGCCTAATCGAATACAAGTTTGTTTCTTTTTTTTCAAGTTTTAGTTTTTCTATGACATTTGCTATGAAGGTACACAATGAGACAAGTTTTTACAATTTTTCTGTTATAAAAACATTTTATTTAGGTGTCTTGTAAAACGTTACCGGAAACAAAACGTTACGATATATTTGTACGGTCAAACTTAACAGAGGTTTTACTGACAAATTTGCTATCTAAAATGAATTACTATTGCTCAATAAGGGCCTACGATGGTAAACGGCGAGTTGGTAATTGGAGTAAACCAGTTCATTTTGTTACTAAAAGTGAGCCACCAACAATGAAACCAAAGATGAAAAGTTGGATAGTGGAAAAAAGAGTGAGTGATAACAGCAGATTTTAAGCGCTTTTTTTCATAAAATAGATATATTTTATCAGTGATATCTGTAAAGAAAACCTGCATTTCTAGATGAATGTTTATGTAACAACCATTTACTGGAGTGCTGTCGTCTTCGAAAATCGTTCGTATAGTGAAACCGGTGATTGGGGCTACAAGGTTTGCTATTTTTTAGAACGCTTGTTTGGGACTTAGAAATAGTCAGGGCTTCTTTTTTTTCTACTTCAGTAAACGAGGAAGTGTTAGAACTATTGTGGTACGAGAAAACTGAAGTTCCTTTGCTAATGTTGTGTAAAATTAGTTAGATTTTTAGCTAATCGAGCAGCTTTCTGGTAAAAAAGAAAGTGCATTTGAAAATGTCAGTTTCAAATTATTTAACTGCTTCTTAATTTGGACTTTTATTTTCTTTTTTCAGATAAGAATTTATGTGACTGAAACTGCAGCAAAGCCGGTTATTTTACGAGTTCCAGAAGTTTCTCTTCAAAACAAGAAACATCCTTCAGTTACTGTTGAAGGCTTGAAATTTTTATATCAGTACAATGTTCAAGTAAGTTAAAACGCTGAAAATAAAAAGAGGGAAAACAAAGCATTTTGGGCTGTATGAAATCTGTTAAGCAGGCTGAGATGAATTATGTTTGCGGGTTATGCACACACGTATTAGTTTTTGTAAATTAATGTTTAGCTAAAAATTTTTTTAAAACAAAACTTCTGTCTTTATTTTTTCTCAGTTTATTCTCCTTTACCAACTGAAAAACCAAAGATATGTCAGCAAGACTATATGCTGCAGGTTTTGTAGAAATAAAGGCAAGTTAAGAAAATGCTCAATTTTTGAGCAGGCGAGATTGATTTGAGCAGCAGAAATTTTGTAGCTTCAAAGACTGATTTAGACATTTTATTATTTAAATTTTCTTATTTGGAATTAGTACCATAAACGGTGCTACAGTATAGAAGATATAGCAGTTTGTCTTATTGTTGTAATAAAGCAGTATGATTACTTCTTTTTGCTTGTAGGTTTCTGGATATAATGATGGTGGTGAAGGGCCATTAAGTGAACTATTTCCGTTACGTATCGATGCATTGGTTGCCGAAGATCAACGATCATATACAGCGCCGAACTTATCAAAAATCTCTATATTGTTGTTAATAATTATGCTAACAATTTCTATAAATCAGGAAAAATTATAATGAGTTGGATTCTTGTTTTGCATAACCTCTTAACTACCTGAACATTGTGATACTACTGAAACGTGTAATGTTTTTTCTTCTTTCTTGTCTCAATATTAATAGTATTTTTGTGTGATGATATAAAACTGCCTTGATTCTAAAAGAAAAACACTATTGTTCACATAAGTTGTCTTGATCAGTTGTTTTCTGTTTTCTGGGAAAACAGCGTTTAATTTGCTTACCATTTGATAGATCAGCCATTGATGAGCTCAACTGCACTTGTCTATCAGTGTGGCTTAAATTTAGTTTAGTTCTGTAACGTTTACTGTTTTTAATGTGTCAAACAACAAACTGAAAAAAGAAGTTATCATATCTGTTGACTGACTTGTTTTAAAAGGCATATCGTTTTCTGATGTCTTGTCATCATTGCTAAACACCTTTTTGATCTTAACACCATTTCTGTTCCTTGTTTTATTTCTTTTTTTTTTTTTGTTACTATTACCAGTTATAATATCAAAATCGGGTTGTATCATATTACATTGTTTTGTTGTTGAAATAATTTTTGTATAGTGACTGTATTTAGGACAGTTTTTTTCCTATTTGGATTTCTTTGATTTTTTTTATTTAGCAATTCGTCTCATAGCTTTGTTAAGCATTACATCGAACGAGTATTCCAGATGGTAAATTGTCATTGGAATTCATTTCTAATAACAATTGTCAGTTTCTGTTCTGATCACGTAAATTTGGAGTGAAATATCTCTAATTTAAAAAAAAAAAATTTCTTCTGGATTTCAGAATGCTAATTCTATTGAGAAGGCTTGTCTTATATGTCTTATTTAAACATTTTGCTAATAGGCTCTTGAAAAATTTCGGTCAATCTGACAGAAGAAAAAAAACTTTTTGTCAAAAGTTTTGAACAAACAAACTCGTTGCCATAGAAAAATGACAGCGAAAAACAAAGCTTAGTAAAATTTTGCTTCTCTCATGTTTCAAACGGACAAAAACTCATTGGTATACATTCAGTTAATTTTTTACGATTAGTCAAACTCTACAAGCTAATTTCAATAATTCTTGTCCTGTTATTTCTTTATTTCAGTGCGAAAGATCAGCTTTTTTTTGTAGCAGTAAAACAACATGGACAGCTGTTATTATGGCATTAAATGCTATAAAATGTTGGTATACTTCTGCCTACTGATGTTGTTCATATTATTTCCAAAACTATAGCAGCAATTTTTTACACTATATCTATCCGACAACATAGAAATTCAAAACAGTTTGGTTTGACCGTTAATGTTGACTGCTATGAATCAAATATGCCTGAAAGTTATAGTTACTGCAGATTATTTGTTGAAAAATAATTTTTAAGAAAAGAAGTTTTTAAAAGTAGTGGAAGTATTGTTGAAGATTTCCGATAACAGAAAAATGCTTGAAAGCTGCAGAATATGGACAATTGCTAACCTTTTGGGAAGTCATACTTAAGCGAACTTCTTAATGCTTGTTCTAGTCGTGCAATTTTTCTTATCAACAGCAATGCAATACCACCAAATACACTAATTGCACCAACACCGGTAGATATGTTCAACAAATCT